CCCCAAAACCCCAAAACCCCAAAACCCCAAAACCCCGTCTACGAATATAATTAAGTTAAAATTTGAATGTTTAAAGTATAAATTCACTTAAATGATTAAAAACATTACCAAAACAATGATTTGTCTAGTATTTATGACAGTGTCACTAAATCTTATTGGAACTCTCTAGAAAGAACTTTAAATAAAAACAATAGATGAATATTAAGAATACTTCAATAACTAAATTAAAAAGCTCTCAGATTACATTGAAGTTAGATACTAATTGGAAAAAGGACTTCATACAGTTGTAGTAAAGGACATCGATTAAGAATAGGAAACAATTCTCAATGTACCAGCTAGATTTGTTTCCTCTTTCTGTAAGAATTCTTACTGTTAATTCTGATAGATGATCATATGCATGATAATTCAAAATGGGAGTTGTTTGAAATCGTTAGGGAAGTTTGGGAATAATAAGGTAGGACTGAAATCTTTGAACTTCAAGGAATTATGATAGCACTTTTACAGCAAGATCTATATAATAAGTATGTAAAAAATTGGAGTAATTCAACCAATGAAGATGATATTTTCATGTGGCATTACCTTACATATCTCAAACATGTCTTGATTCTTGATGACCTGGGATTGTGGAATGAGGAGCAAACGCTTTTTTATCAATAGGTTACTCTTGATAGAATGGAAGATGACTTGAATCGGAAGCAGCTTTTTAATGAAATTACTCAGTAACTTAGAGAGCGATATAGAGATGATGAAAATAAACATAAATTAGATGACTTTATGCAAACAATGGGAAGCTTCGAGGATTTCACTATCTGGATGAGTGCAGTTTGCTCAAGATCACATTCTATCTAGCTAGAGTAAGAATACTTACAAATAACTGAAAGAAATATAAACTAATTTTAGAGTCTATTTGGAAATTAAGGGAGATCAAAAAGAGGATCAAAAATTAAGAGAAGAGAAGGCTTAAAAATTTGAATAAATTTTTGGAATCCATGTATTAGCACTTCAACCAATTCTTGATCTGACTAATCACTATACTAAAGAATTAGGCAAAAGTGATATAGATATTTATCTTACAGATGGAATAAAAGGATCAACCATTAAAGATAGTTATTTTACTTACACCGCTGACTCAGCTTTCTAAGTGGGAGAGGAATTTGTTTACACATATATGTCTCATGACTAAACTCAAATAAAGCTATTCAAGCATTATGGAATGGTACTCAGTAACAACGTTGATTCTTACTATGAGTTCAGTATAAATGATCCTAAAAGATAGCTAAATAAGGAGTTATCACAGTTGTGTAGTTCAACTTTTGAATGCTTTGAAGAAGTTAATCTTGATAAACAACATCTGAGTTATAAATTCAGGTTGAACTTATATGACATAAGCTAACCTTTTTATAACTTCCTAAGATTTCTTAATATTTAGCAAGACCCTAATTATGATTTGTAAAATGTAATAACCAGTTTAAATAAAGATGGTTTCATCTCATATGAAAACGAGCAGATAGTTTTCCTTTAAGCATTCTAGATTTTATAATAAGAATATGAAAGAAGATTAACAATAGAAGAATTAAATCAGAGAGTCATGATTTTGGAGTAGACTTAGGGGGTGTGGTAGAATGATAGTTTGAGAAGACAAATGCTAACATATAAAGTTCTAATATAGACATAACAAGTCATTCTCACTAACATGAACTTGGCAGTTTATTATGAAACTCAAATGATTTTAAGATAAGCTATAGAAAGCCAAGTATATTGATTTAGATAAAGCAAATATTCTTAATTAAAATTATTTCATAATCTTTTAGTATCTAAGAGATTTAGCATATTGGGGTTTTGGGGTTTTGGGG